GCGCTGGCCCATCGCCACGTCGTGTGCGAGCTTGTACGTGCCCTGCCAAGCTCCCCACCTTCTACCTGCTCTGCGGCTACACGGGGTGCTGCCAGCGCCGGGCCTTTGCCCCGGGCCAGAATGTGCAAAATGAGCTGAAAATGTACCAGCAATAAAGCCAGATCATTTCAGAGCAATCAGGCGCCTCATTTCCTACATTTGTCAAGAGGACACTTGATAGTGAAGTGTCGTGTTCCTTTAGACGTAAGCAAAATAAAGATTAAGACTAAACATGTCCTTGGTGTTAAGAGAAAATCTCCAAGAAGTGGTGTAGCTGCAGGGACTTGCGATGAAAAGGGTTTTTCCAGAGGCTGTCGCTGTTCGTGGAGGGCACGTCTCTGTGGGTCCCCTCTAGAGCTGAGGCAGAGGGCAACACAGGGCTACGCCAAAGCGCAGGAGAAGCTCGTCTCTATGTCCACGACTGCAGATGAGCATCAGCTTCCTTGAGCTCGTATGAATTTCTTCCAAGAAGCAGAAGATGAGCTACACACTCTCAGATAAAAGGTCAGTTTGTTGGCACAGGTAACTAGACAGATCCTTGTATATGTGTGTCTCCCACTAATGGCACAGAAGCATCAACACCTTCCCTGCCCCCTTGGTATATGAGCAGGGCAGCTCAACAGTATTGGAGCAGAAGCAAACACCTCTAGCCCAGGGAAAAGACAGTGGAATCAGGCAGGAACGCAGTGGAGCACAGATGACTCCTGGGTGTCACGCCAAGGGAGACCAAGTGAAGATGCAATAGCTAAAGATGAAGTTCCCTTTAAAACCATCTAAACTGAGTATTGGACAGCATAACGCTATCACATCAGATGTATTAAAACCATATGCAACATACATAATGCGTAAACGCACAGGATCTGCAGCACACCCAAGCCCAGCGTGCCTCCTCCCTGCAGTAAAAGTGCCTCCGCACCTTCCCCCGGCGATGGCCATGCCACCCGGCAAACCCTGGGCAGGAGTTTGGCACCGTGCAACCTTTGCATTTGCCCTTGGGCGAAGAAACTTTCAGGATTTTTCCCCTGACAAGATTTTTATCTTTGTCCAGCAGCCTTCAAAACCTCTGGCCATTGTACATGATGTGATGGTCTGTGCTGTGCCCGCGGTGGCTTTTTGGCATGTCTCGCAGAGGATGGGTTGACTTGATATTCCAGCTTCCAATCCTCACCGGAGAAGGACGAGGTTGCAGTTATCTCTAGTGGTTTGCATCTCTGATGTGTAAACTTTATCTTGTCAGAAATCTAAGGAAGATCCCACTAATATTTGTACATTTTCTCCATTGGAAGGTAGGATAAAAGTCTCACAGAAAAAAATGGGAAGAGAGAAATTATTTGTACTTCTGTCAGAGGACTTCCACCTTTAAATTACCTCAGTGAGCACAGGAACACCCGCCTATACATCAGGTAACGGCCAGGCTTCTGGCAGAGGAGGCAGCGCTATCTGGAGCCTATGCGGGTCTCTCAAAGTCTGCTTGAGTTTAAACATAGGATATACAAAGCAGCATATTAAAATAGTAGATGGAAATATAGCACTCTGCAGTAAAAAAAACAAAAGGGAGCGATTATGAGCAGGAATCTTGGCTCTATTGACTCTTTTTTTTTAAATAAAACAGAAAACGGCATCGTGTTCCCAGGGACATGCTGGCAAACAGCAGGGACAGAGTCTGAGAGAATCTATATTTTATACTTTATAACTTAATATGGCTTTTGCATGATTTTAGTATTTTTATTGGTTCTTAAAACATGCACAATATAAACACGTGAACCAGCCAGAAGTACAGCACACGGAGGGCCGGGTGCTGAGGGTGGATGTCCAGCCGTGCCAGCCTGCAGCCGGGAGGGAGCTGGGATTCCGGGGACCAGCCCTCGCCCATGGTGCGGCCCCAATCCTGCAAAGAGCTGCCTGTGGGTGCAGGGGGCTGTGGCCATGGGTGGCCTTATTGGGGGCAAGCCTACAGCCTTATTCTGCACATTTATGGTGCTGCACCGCAGCATTAAGCCAATGTTTCCACTTTCTAGTCGAGTCAGTGCTCAAATCCCAACCTCCGCCCAAAAATAACACAAATCCAGCCCCTTTGCTGCTTCCATCCCCTCACACCCTTCTCTCTGCCCTCCTTTTAGCCAGCCACAATGTCACCAAAGGAAAAAACAACATGCTTCGACGGCGGGCGTCCATCAGCGGTTTCTGCTGCCCTGCTGCCTCCCACCCAGCCCGGGCAGGGATTTCAGAGCTGCCATCAAACTTGGTCAAACTTGGGCTACTCGTTCCCCGTGACGCGCCGGGGCGCAGCGCATGCCTCCCGGAGACGTGTGGGGCGGAAGCCAGCGTGTTCTCCAGCTGCTCGAGAGCAAGACCTGTGCTACGGGCGAGCATGGCCGCTCCGGCCAGGCTGGCGGCATCGGACTCCACCCAGCTACCGCTTCACAGAAAGAGCTTTGCGAGTCCGCGCTTCCGACAACTCCGATCCGCAACAATAATTAGAAAGGGTAAATCATGTCGTTGAGCTGATGAACTCCACGTTGCAAGCAGAAGGGCCTGACGTGCCTCGCAGGGCGGCCCACGGGGGCACTGGGCAGGGCCATCCTCCATCTGGCCACAGAAGGAGCCCCAGGCCAGACCCTGCCCGACTCCTCTGGCCCCGCAGCTCTCATCTCAGAGCCAGAACCACATTTTTCTTTTCATGGCGCTGAGATCAGACCTCCAAGAGAGCCAGACATGTCTAGGGTATTCACTGAGGAAACAGGAATAATTACCTGCTAATTTCTTCTATTTGTTTTCTATATTTAAGGGGGAAATCTTAGGAAAATCCAGAAGGAAGCAAGTAATCATCAAACAGAAGTGAAAGAAGGCAAAGGCTGGCCATTTCCAAACTGCAGGTCAAGGCCAGCTGTGAGAGCCAGCAGAAACTCAGCTCCTCGCAGTCCTCTGTACATCCCTCTCTAATGCCCTGCGAGGTGGTCCATTTTACAGACGCAACAGAAGGGCAGAGTGTCCCAAAGCCTACACAAAGTCTGTGGCAAACCACAGAAGCGATCCACATCTCAAGTTTGTATCCTGTTTAAAAGACCAAACCATCTCCTGGATGTAGTATTTTTGCAAAAATAACATACTTTACAACAACATTTGCAACAGGTCACACATCTCGGATGACCTCCCGCCCTAAGCAGCGTTCACTGCCTGCATCTCCCTCTCAATCTGCCCCAGGTGTTTTGCTGCAACATGGCACGTCCCGTTACAGTAGTATTAATGTCTACAGTAAATACTGTCCTTGTAAAAAAAAAAAAAAAAGAAAAGAAAAAGCCTATTTATTTCTTGCTAGGGTTTAAATGCAATCCAGCCGCCCAGACACAAGACTGCAAACTTTCTTTTGTCCTCTTGTTGCAAAAGGACCTCGTCTCTTCAGACAAGCCTGTTTGCCTTCTGCAGCCCCCAGCTCGGCGTGTGCCAGCTGTGCGCCGATGCCTGCGCTGGGCAGCACCCACCGCGCCTCTGGGCTCCCCCGCGGCCATCGGGAAGGTTAAAGTCATCTTCTTGGACGCAGGGATTTGGACAAGAGCACACAGCGCTCTGCTGATCCTTTTGGGGCAAGATGCAACCGCTAATTTGGAACCCAGAGTGCAGGTGGCCCTACGGAGAGCGCGGGAGCTGTGGCGGGCCCATGCCCATGCCCATGCCCCGGCCACCTGAGGTACGCGCACGGCTGCCCAGGCAGCTCGGAGAGGAGAGCACCAATTGCTACCGGGAACCCACGGATGGGCTACGGGGGCAAGCAGGCTGGTTTCGCAGACTCACTCGGACACCTGTGATGCCGGGATATCCAGGAGGCCCTTCTTTTCCCTTCAGCCCTTCGTTGCCTTTTTCTCCTTTCTCTCCTTCCAGGCCTTGCTCTCCTTTGTCTCCCTGTGGAAGAGAGGAGGGTGGGAGCTTTTCATACCCACACAACACATGGGTCGCTGTACATGGCTCTTGCAAGGAAAAAGCCCACCAAATAATTAATATTTCAGGAGTCTGGGGGGAAGAGAGCCTGCAAGCAAAAGGATGAATGAGGATGAGTCATAATACACTTGACATTTAAAAAATGAGCAAAAACAGGTTTCCTTTTTTTAAAATCTCTTGGCTGGAGAAGAGGAACTCCCCCATTACACAGGGTAATCTGAACCCCTTTGCTTCTCCTGCAATAAGACCTGAACGTCCCACGTGAATGAGACAAGATCTGAAAGTCTCCCTTGCCTCACCCAGAAGCCCTGAGCTTGGGATGCTGAAAGGTTTTTAATAGGACGTGTTTGTCTGGAGCGGCCGCTTTGCTCTTGCTGCCAAACGGGAAGCAGCCCAGGGCTTGAATAAACACTGTGGAACAGTGTCGTCTTGCCCCTGTGAAGGATTTGTGGTCCAAGCAGTAGGTGTCATGTCAAATCACTGTTCTTATAATTGATGGCACAAAATTTTATGGAGACAATCAAAAAGGCCAATTCTGTACTGACAGCAGCACCTACACTTGTACAACCAACCAGCCTTGACAGAGTCGTTTTCCACTTGCACCTGCGTTGGTGAGAGCACAGCAACGTCTCTTCTGGTTAAACAAATGCTCCTGCAGCGAGCAGTGACTCTTCCACCATCCAGACATACATTCAGGTTGACAAGATCTAGTTTCGTTCAAGAACTCTTGGGGACGGTTAGCAGTGGCAAGAGAACACAGAAGTCTTGACTGTCTTTAAGGAGGAGTCTTTTGGTCCAACGTTCAGAGATAAGCAAAAGTAGAGACACATGGCAAATAGCTTAACTAGAACGAAGCAATAAACTGCATTGTTGTGGGACCAGCAGCTTTTTCTTTCCATGGAACAAAATTGTTGGCCTGTTTGGAAAAGTCGGCTGTGCAGGGGCAGGAATCACAGTCCTGTTCCAAGGGGAAGGTAGCAAACTCACAGCAGCTAGATAAAGAGCACAGTGCAAGCCCTGAGTGAGCACCTGGGGCTTTGCCAAGAGGAAGGGGATCTGGTTTCTTGCTAACAATGTTCTGGTCAGTGGTGCAGGGGAGAGTGATGGACAATTCTTGATTTTCCCTGCCAGGCCCAGGAATTCCTGATTAGTTGGAAATTTCATCTGTAAAGACTCAAATAAAACAGACAAATTGTTGGAAACTAGATTTTGAAGAAGTTGACCTTTTTGGAGATCTGATCAGATGCCAAAAATGTGGGTAGAGGAGTGAAACAGGAGGAGTCCGTTATGTGTGCTTGCAGAAAAAAAATCCTTGGAGGGAGCAGGGCAGAGGCTTATTGTTCAGAGGACCCAATAACTCCCTTGGCTCAAACCTGCCCCTGGGAACCACAGGGGCCTGAGTGCACGGAGATGTGCAGGAGCTGAAGCACGCCACGAGAGTGAGGTTTACCTTGACACCGTCTGGCCCGGGTGGCCCGCTGTCCCCTTCCAGCCCCGATTCTCCCTGCAAGACAGAAGCAAGCGACATAAGGGCTGTGCCCCAATATGCTTTTTTTCCCATGCTTTCAGCAGCTGACTCGTGGCAGCGAGTCAGGCTGCAGCAACGGGAGCCCAGCCCTGCACTTCGACACGTGCCCTGTCTCATACCCTAATGCTGAACAAGCTCTTCCTGGAGCAAGAGCAGGAGTTCAGTCTCTTGCTTTATTCTGAGCCACAGCTTCTCCTCCATGGACCCCACTGCTGGCCTGCGGGAAGAGCTCTTACACTGTGTTGAAAAGGGGGG